CTGCAACCCTGAGAACAAGATAATTTCTGCAATTGAATTCTTAGAGCTGGTTGGATATTCTGCAACAAAACTGTTGAACTAAATGACCTTCAGAGGTCCCTTCCACCCTCAGATCTGTGATTCTGTGAATTTCCAGCTTTTGGTAAGCACTAAATAACATATTTCATAAAAGTGATCCAGAGAGCTATAGGACAGCTCTAATACCTGTAGGATGATCTGAAACCACTCCTCTTCTTTTAGTCACAGGAAACAAACTCTGCAGAGGATTCCGCACAGAGTGACTGTATATCTGAACTGAAAGCTTCTGCCTTAGGTGTCAGCTTCATTTCTTGGTCTATGGCAGAAGCTGAAATATTTTCTAAGGCTCTGTGTGGTGAGATTGGTTAGACATATTTTTGAGTGAATTAAAAAGACAATGTAGGGATCTACACATCCCTAATTGGGTCTGGCAGTCTCAAATGGATTGCTTTGGTTTCAGTTACCAGACCAGCAGATTAGCTGTAGTGTGTCAGCCTAATTCAAATACATGTCCAAACCTCATTTGTCTTTATGGAAATCAAAAACACATATGCTGTTCCTCTGCAAGTCTACAGTATAGCTTTTTTTTTTCAACTTTCATAATAATTGTCCAGTCAGAAGAACTGAACAATTTGTGATTTAAACAAGCGATAGTAGAGCTTGGTTCGTGCACAGAGCTCAACTGGTAAGATAAGCAGAATTGCTGTCCTTGCTTTGTGGAAAAAGAAGCTGGATCAGGGGAGAGAGTGACTTTCTGAAGGTCACCCAGTAGATCAGTGGCAAAGAGGACTCTTGATTCCTAGTCCAGCATCTGGGCACTATGACACGCTGTGGACTGCCTGTCAGACAAAAGCTGGAGAAGGGACACGTTATCATCCACCTTTCCTAGAGGAGGAAAGATTCTATAACTTTTTCCTGGTCCAAATAAGATGTATCCAAATAGCCCGGAGACTCAGTGCTCATTCAGTCTCCAGGCCACGATGCTCATCAGACAAGGAGCTGTGTGCTTAGCCTAGTTTGGTAAGGATCTGAAAAGCATGGCTACCAGTCCTTCTGGGCAATTTGGACAAAAAGTGAATGTCTTTTCACCTAATTCTGTATTGCTGACAGCAGAATTATAGCAGGGAAAAGAGGAAGTCAGGCATCACCATAGCACAGCTATGGTCAGTCGTAAGGTATTTCTGAAGTAGGTATTTTCAAGCACACTTAGTTTTGCCTGACTTGTCTGTTTTAATGCATAAATTCCATTTTCATTATAAAGTGATAATAAGCTTGAAATTGCTGCTTTTCTAATCCAAGTCAAAAGCTCACCTCTTTGAACTAGGAATGGTGGTGAAAACAGTTTAAAGGCTTGGAAATGTGAGTGGAGCTCTCAGATACCCTGGCGACACGCTGGATAAATAAATGTGTGACAGGAAGGAGAAATTTCCTTACTTTAAAAAATTGCATCTTTCACAATAGTTGTGGTAATGACATTTATTAAAGAATTTACTATTAAGGGTTATTTCATGAATATCTGGGGATGTGCCTTTTAGACTGCCATCAATAGCAACAACCCAAATAACCATATGTAAAAGAGACCACACTCTCCACTGGATATATGGTGATATGTGTAACTTACGACTATACTGCATTGTGCTGTTGCCCCACAAGGCCCTTCTTACATGGCAAACTATCAGAACAAGGGAGCAGAGGATTGGAACAGGCTGAGTATTTTCGTTAGATTAATGTAAGAATCAAAACTAATACTTAAGAATGCATTAGGTCGCTCAAATCTTTTATATTGAAGTTGTTAACTTAAGAAAAACAGCACCAGGGAATAATACAGTGATGTTTTTTGGTGTAACCTGCCGGTGCTACAGACAAAAATTTCAAACTATTGACAGCTTGAAATATGGTAGGTACATATATAACATGATACTTTCTGCAAGGCAACCAGAAGTAAAAGATGTATTTTTGTAAATAATCACCTTTGTTTTTTTCCAAAATGCATAAATCATATTCAGTTTGCTGTGAAGGCTATAACATTTCCAAGCACGTCTCCAGAAAATCTCTGGAGATCTAATTATTCCAGGATACCACAAAAAAGAGTTATTACTTATTTGAACTGCTAAAACTGCTAGCTGCAATATGATGACTTCTCTGTCAGTGTTATTCTGCTTCAGAAAAGAGTTTCTATTCTCTGTAGCAACCATAGCTAGGTTTTTATTTTCCCCACATCCAAGTTCAATTATTTAATATGCTCTAGGCTGAAAGAATACCAGATACATGTTACATCCAATATTTTAAAATAGTAGTAATAATAACTTTTGCTTAGAAAAAATGTGTAGGTTTCAGTTCAGAACTTAGACCAAGTGGGGAAATTATTCTGAACTCACTTAGCCTAAATGTTGTGATTCTACCGTCTTTAGTGGAATTATTCTTCTTTGCATCATTTTAAAGTCAGGAGCCTCCAACTCTGGGTGGAAATCAGGTGTGGGGATTGCAGAATAACAGATCCCAGCCTTTAGACTATAGCAGCAGAGAACAGTCTGATAACAGTCATGTGTCCTCAACTCTCACTGCTCCCTTCACAATGGCTTTTGAAGATAAGACTTGTCATAGCTGGGTTTCCTTCTGTTCTTGCATGATTGCACTGGTAACCTGAGGACTGCTTGGGTTTCTGTGTTAAATAAAGTAAGAAAAATCTAGATGCTTTCTTTGTTTAAAATAACTCTTAATTCTATGTGGCTTAGAAAAACTTGGACTGAATTTTCCTCTGTGGTGACTTTTTTAAACTTTAGTTGTCCTTTACACTTCCATAGTTCTGCCCAAAACTGGCTCCGTCATCATGGTAAAACTCCTCTGCCACCTTTGAAATTGTTTGTACATTCATTCTCTGCCATGACCTGCAAGAGCCCTTGGCACAATAAATGTGGTTGTTCTTTTTAAGAGGTGGGCAGGTGCTTGCTGGGGACTGATGTATGGTATTCAGGGTACAGATTCCTTTCTCATAGGCCAAATTGCAGTGACCAGCTGCATGACTTTGCTGATCCAAACTGAGAAAAATGAAACGATGGCCCTGTATCCTTTAAACAATGGTCCATCCTGTTCCCTCTCGTTCTCTTTGAAAGTCTTTTAGATGCAGGCATTTTAAAACAATCTGTTATTCATTTCTCTCCACATGATTTTTGTGATGGTTTTGCCCTCAGGTCTTAATTTTCAGTGAATTGGTTCTTGTCCCCAGGAAATGTAGACTCATGTACAAGTCAGAATGAAGAAAAAGTAATTTGAAGAAAACAGCCATATAGTATGTTACACATCCCTAGTGAACTGAATCCCAAATATTCGCAACCAGATATTTCATGTTATTTGTGGCCTGAAAGACAATTAGACATCTAATAGAATATTGAAAAGGTGCTGAATATGTAGTTCTTATACAAATAATAATAATTTTTCCTGTAATAATCCTCTCACCTTCTTCTTGTAGGTGCTATTCCAAATGTTGTGCTCTCTAGGTTTTCTTTTTTTCCTGGAATAATAAGCTTTCTGCCATAATTATCATGAAGAACCTGATTTAAGAGATCTTGGCCTCTTTCTTAACCAGAACTAGATACTGTCCATAGTAAAAGTTTGGTTATCCTAGAGAGAAACACTGGATTCTGGTGGCCTCATCCAGCACAAATCAGCAGAGAATCACAGACCTGAATTCAAACCAGGTCCTGCACATGCAGGAACGAGAAGTACCCTGTTTGTAGAGCAAGATAATTTACACACTGACCTAGACCAAATGTCTCCGTAAAAATGGCATTTTGAAGAAACAGTGACTAGTTTTGAGACCCGTTTGGTAGGAAAGCAAAGACACTGACCACAAAGACGTCTCAGCCCAGAGTTCATGCAATGTTGAAGCAGACTAGGACATGCTGCTAGTCACCTGCCCTTACTTCTGCTGATTACAAGTGAGACTTCTTTAATTATTAATGCTTAAAGGAGTCAAGACCAGAAAAGTAAAATACAAGTATACACTCCAAAGGTTCTTAAGTAACTTTCATAAAGTGCTTAAAAGAAATTAAACAATAGAATGTAGCATTTTGGCTTTCAGTCTACTAACAATCTAGGTCAAACCAGAGCCAAACTGTTTACATTTAAAACATCCAAACTTTCCCCAGAGCTGTTAATGATGACACCAGCTTTCATAATCGGAGAATACAACAAACACAATATCCATTGAGCTGTTGTGTTCAAATCAATATTTCACATGCCAGTCCTCCAAACCTTGCATGCACTGAGATTATCTGAGAAATCTCAAATTGATATACAGGATCACTGCACCTTGGGCCTTTATACTCTGAAAGTCCCAGTGCCCTTTCTGATTTTTATGTCCATTTTCTTATAGACGCCCAGGAAATCTGTACCAAGGCAAGGAACTGAACCTCAGAGCAGCTCATTCAGCACTTTGAATACTGATCTTTCCTTCCTCCCCACATCTGTGGTTTCTTTGAAAAGGCTTCTGAGAATGAGAGCTTATAACAGTAAGCATCGTACAAGCGCTGTGATAGACTAGCTTTTTTTCTAGAATCTAACACAATAAAGCTTGTCTCAAATCAACATTTCTCAGGCAAAGTGGTTATATAAATATTTGAGATAATATACACTGTTAAGAATTATGAAAAATATCCTCATGTCATTCATAAGAGGTAGCTTTTGTGCCTTGCCAAAGGTCATCTTCCCCCCCAGACTATTACGCAGTAACTTGTTGACCAGTTACATACTTTACTGCTGGCCTATCATATTAGAGCAGCTGCATTTCAGAACGATGTATGTAATTTGCTTTGCAATAAAAGGCCTAAAAGAAATAGAAATGTATTAATTTACAAATTCACCTTTAATTAATTCCACCAAGAGAGGAGCTTTGCAAGGTACACATTTCGACCGAATGAACTATTTTAGGAATCAATTTCTCTGTACTTGGAGAAACATTTAAAAAGAAATGGAAACATTACCTTGGCTGATGTTTCAAACCAGCCCACGAACCCATTCTCTTTGCAGAACTGATCCATCTTGATGCCGTTGTTCATAAGAACATCTATTCCCTGGTCGCATTTGTTTGCTAAGAGAACTGTCGGCACAGGTTTGCCATTTGGAAGAACCAACTTAGAGTCCAAATCCTCTTTCCATTTTGTCACTGCTTCAAACGTTGCAGGTCTTGTAACATCAAAGACAATAAATGCCCCCATGGCCTCTCTGTAATATACCCTGGTCATGTTTCCAAATCTTTCCTGACCTGTGATGAAGAAAGTAGGAGGGGAAAAAAACACCACCTTGTAAAAATCACTGCTTCCAATCTAGGTCAATGTTTCACATAACAGGTTTTCTAAGAGAACATTACTGAAGGCAGGACTTCATTTTGTAAGTCTCTGGAAAGCTACTCTTTGTCTAAATAATGATAAGTACCATGCTAGACTCATTTATATGAAAATGCAAAAGAGTATACCATGAAAAAAGAGTTTTAAAGCAAACATCCAAGGAGATTTAATAACTTTATTACAAGCTTGAACTTCAGTGTACAGTCTTATTAAGCTGCCAGATTTCTAGGTCTGTGGACAGACAACAAGGGTCTTGGTGTACGTTATAGGACTTTAAACAGGAGTCACAAAAAGTCTAGGCACCAGATTGGAAGCTCCTTGATGCTATGGTAATTTGTGGGAAACATCTAACACAACTGATCTGCTCGTGCATGAAGAGGATCCTGCGTATTCTCACGCAATGATAATAATCAACAGTAACATAATTAAGCTCTGGAGTCATACCAGGCATTAGAGTCATTATGAATTTACTTCTACTGGCAAACACAGAAGTGAGAAAGGTGAATTTAAAGCCTTACAAACTTGGAAAGTGTTCTAAGAAATAGCACAGCAGTAGCAATATGAAGAGCTGTATTGTTCCCGTGAAAAGATCTGGGAGGAGATGTTTCACACTAGATTTGTTCAGAAGCTTTATGGTTTTATTTGCTGAATTCAAAGTGTTTTCTGGGAAGTTATTTACAGTATTTTTGTGAGCTAACAATATATTATTATATTCAAACATGGACATTTGTAAATATCTATCATTTTGTATGATTAACAGTGTAAAAATTAACACACTTGATGTCAGGATGTGATATGTTGCTTAGCTGTGGGTTTGTTAATATATACGCCGTTTTCATGGGAACTTTGAGAAAATGTTTTCAAGAATGGGAACAAATTACACAGAATTTTTCTTGAAGTTAAAAAATAGAATTTCCGTTGATGTTTACTGCTGAGCTGTGATCTGAAAAAGAAGAATTATAAATTCCTGAAACATGTCCTGGGGGACACCCACATTGGGTGGACTGCCCAGTGGATGAGGAATTGGCTGGATGGTCACATCCAGAGGGTGGTGGTCAACAGATCAATGTCCAGATGGAGATCGATGTTGAGTGGTGTCCCACAGGGGTCCATACTGGGACCAGTACTGTGTAATATCTTCATCAGTGACATAGGCAGCTGGAACGAGTGCACCCTCAGCAAGTTTGCA